AGTTTGCAGAAAAACGTGGACTGGATTTCATGTGGTGAGGGAGTTCTCTGTATGAACAAGTGGAATGGACTGGATAATGAAGTTTGCAGAAAAACGTGGACTGGATTTCATGTGGTGAGGGAGTTCTCTGTATGAACAAGTGGAATGGACTGGATAATGAAGTTTGCAGAAAAACGTGGACTGGATTTCATGTGGTGAGGGAGTTCTCTGTATGAACAAGTGGAATGGACTGGATAATGAAGTTTGCAGAAAAACGTGGACTGGATTTCATGTGGTGAGGGAGTTCTCTGTATGAACAAGTGGAATGGACTGGATAATGAAGTTTGCAGAAAAACGTGGACTGGATTTCATGTGGTGAGGGAGTTCTCTGTATGAACAAGTGGAATGGACTGGATAATGAAGTTTGCAGAAAAACGTGGACTGGATTTCATGAGAAGTGGAATGGATTGGACCAAAGAGGATCTCTACCTTACATTATAAATTAAAGGGAAACTGACAGATTTATGATCATATATTTAAGTTAATAATGAAATATTAAATGGTTATTTATTCTGACCACATCATATTGGATTTTTTAGAAAAAAAATTAACCAAAAATAATTTAGGGGGTCTTTAAAATATTTTAGGGGGGGCTACAGCCCCCCTCAAATATGCCTAGTGACGCCACTGGTGACACCCCTGTTAAAACATATCAATAATGATAATAATATAAGTGTTGAGAAGCAGCAGACCCTGGACTTGTCGGAGCTGCTTTAATCCGGGTCTGTGGTCCTGGTCCATCCCTGAGCTGCTTCCTCCAGCCGGCCGCCGGGGGAAGGAGCGCTCTCCTCCCGCACACACAGCCTCCATGTCCCGACTGCCGAGCCTGGCAGCCAGTGGTCGCGACCAACGACCCGCAGACCTGTGAGCGTCGGAGACCCCGAAAGAAGCCCTGAAAGTCGGACCTGAACGCCTGCCGGTGTAGCTCGGGTCTTCCGGACCCAGCAGRACCGAGTCGGTGTGGACTAGAAGTTTCCGTGAGGAGCGGAGCCGGGATGTGGTGACGCGGCTCCACCGCAAACACGGGAAGCTAGCGTTAGCCGGGGCGCTAAGGCTACACCAGAGTTTGATCTTTAAAGCTAAAGTTTGAGGACCTCTTTCAGGATTAATGCGTTTAATCACCGCGAGGCGTGTTTTATAGGATTCGTGCTGTAATGTTGTGTAGTTTTTATGAAACAAATGCTCAGAAGTTACGAAAACTAACTAGCTAGTGTTAGCATTAGCAGGCTAGTCGACTTGAAGCCAAAGATTTCTGTTTCAAATTAACCAGCAAGCCTGCAACAGTTACCACGTCACCTGACGATAGCACTGCTCCTCTGCCAGCTACAAATGTTGTTTTAAATTCATTTTAAGTGTATTTATTTAAAGGTAGCCGTCATCAAGAGATGCAGAGATAAACAATTTACTTCCAAATAAGTATGCAGTCTTGGAATCAGCAGCTAACGTGCTAACGCTGTTAGCCGGCCAAACTTGGAGTATCTTTCTCCCCTGATCACTGTGTGAAAAAGAGAGGCCTTAAGGAAAATATTGCCTGTTTTCCCTGGATTACTGTAACACGGTGCTAATCCCGGCCTCTGGATGGAGTTCATGTGTCCTGAATGACTCTGGATATCTGTGAAGTTCCTTAAAGCTGCTTCAAACTCTGGGATTCTGCTTCACTGCATCTTTAAAAACCGTGGATTCTCATAAAAACCTTTAGATTATCCTGCAAAGGTGAGAAACCCACACACCAACCACTCATTACACGTTGTGTTTTTATTTTGTGACACTTTGTTTCAGCAGGTTTCACTGCAGTCTGTCAGTTGTAGCTCAGGAGGGTCACAGTTCTCCTAAAGCAGGGAAACTCAAACCTTTTGGGTCTGGGGACCACATACAAGGGCAGAAACACTCCAGAGACCCCCTGCTGTTTTAAAAGATAATTTACTGTCATTTCAACACCTAAATGCCATGGGAATATATTTTATTTAGTTTATTATGTTTGTTTTATTAGTTCATTGTTCCCCATGCATTTTATACAATTAAAACCAAATTAACAATTTAGTGACATTTTTTGAGGACTCCTAAGATACCTCTCATGGACCCCAGTTTGAGAACCTCTGCCCTAAGACACTAAAGCACTAATAGGGGAACTAATTTCCTGGTTAGTGCTTTAGGGCTTTTGCTAATTAAAAAACTTATTAGTGGTCGTCATTCCATATGTGGCGGGAGTTTCAGAGAAACTGAGACATTTATTCTGTAAACATGACGTCCCAGTGGCTTTCAAACCCCAAAACACGTTACAACAAAGATTAGTTCA